CGGGTTTAGCGGGTTTAGCGGGTTTAGCGGGTTTAGCGGGTTTAGCGGGTTTAGCGGGTTTAGCGGGTTTAGCGGGTTTAGCGGGTTTAGCGGGTTTAGCGGGTTTAGCGGGTTTAGCGGGTTTAGCGGAGCGCAGTCGCCCTTTGCGCGCGCAATGCATTTTTTAACCTCCTGAACTACCAAGAAGCGGACCCCCGACTTTTTGGTGGACTACTCGTCATACTCAGAGCACATAGTCGTCGTAGCTTGTAACCCCCCTTTTTAATCGTGGTGCTGAAACCATTGCTATGGTAGGTCCCCCTATGACACGTCAAGGACTGAATGTCTCAGCAAAGCAGCACCACTGTAGTCGCGAAGCATACTGATGCCCATGTGCTCTTGGCTTCCTACATGGGCCGCTACATCTCAAATTCTGCAGGATCAGATGTTTTCAAGATTCATTGCACCCGTGGCCAGGACCATTCTCGCAGAGATGAGGCGGGATGGCTTTGATCGAAGGATTCTCAGTGTAGAAGCCCAAAGGTCCAGGAGGCATAGTGGGAAAGCGCAGCGACGAGTTGGCAAAAGGCCACCTGGAAGTGGATGAATTGGCAGACCTCCCCTGCGCAGCGCCCCGTCCCCTTCATTCCTGCAGCTTTTCCACAATGACATGAATCCACACCATAGCTTCAAAGCCTGCGTCTTGCAGCAGTTGCTTGCGGGTGGATGAACTTTTTTGCCAAGATCAATCTGTTTTGGCGATCACAGGATCTAAAACCGTCACGGTGGCCAGGCGGCTTCGATGCAGAATTACATTGGTCGCAGTCAACAACTCGAAAACCCTGCCAGACACCCTGGACCCTGGTGGGAAAACGCGAATCCTGCTGCACGGTGAACATATGAAGTCTCATCACGTGGATCCAACACCTTGGATATGTTTCACCATACTTTGTGATGATCGTCTGGCAGCCTTCAGCCAGTTCTGTAGCAACTGCAGTCTTGCTAGTTTATCTTGCACGGCTGCCAAATGCACCTCGGCAGGGATGTGTGCAACCCTTGTACATACCCTGCAAGTAAAGACATAGGGGAAATACAGATGGTGGGTACTCAAACCGGCATAAGCAATTGGGACGTTACTACATGCATCGCTGTTGACAATTTCATGTGTTTCTTCCCAGCCATTGAGCTCCAGATGCTTGAGTTACTGGAGACTCCACAGATCACCAACAAAAGGTGCCACAGCTCTCAGCTCACTTTCCCAGATTCCGTTCCTGCTGAAATGTCCTGGCAAGGGTGAGGGGTCATTTTGGAACACCGATTGGCATCATTTTGGAACACCGATCAGCGTCATTTTGGAACACAAATACCAGAAGGGGATCATTTTGGAACACAAGATACCTAATTTATCATGACCCCATTAGTCGAAGCTTTGCCCCATTAGTTCAAGTCAATTGTATCTCTCTTTGTATCTTTATTGTGGACAGGGATCTCTAAAGATAGCTGTCTTACACAAGCCACAACAGTCCGTTCTGTTGATTTTATCATCGCTTCATTAGTTCAAGCATCGCCCCATTAGTCCAAGCATCATTCCAACGTGCAGGCTGCAGATGTCTACATTGGGGTGGAAATCATGGAAACCATGGAAACCATGCAAACCATAGAAACCATAAAAACCAGAGAAACAATAGAAACTATAGAAACCATACACTAGAAACCATTAAAAAAAAAAAAACATGGAAATGGGGTGAAGCTTGGATAAGTGGGGATGCTAAAACTAAATCAGAGCTCCTCACCCTTGGACTAATTGGGCGTAGTTTGGACTAATGGGAACGGTCCTTGGAAGAAGTGGAAGCTTGAGTTCCTTGCAGGTGTTTCTTTTGATCCCATGGCGTGGATGGAAGAGCAGAGGACCGGAACCAAAAAAAACAAAAGACTAGTCCAGACTCTGGAGTAGTGTGGAAATTGCTTGTTTTCTTTTGTTCCTCTTTGTTTTTGTTCTGTTCTTTGTGGTTTCTTTGTTTTTTTGGTCCGGTATGCTTTAAAACAAAGATGGATAGCTTTAAAACAGTGACCTCTTTGTAGCAGCCTATCACGGAGTCAGTAGTTGATTCCAGTCAGTAAGTGCAGCAAAGACTATGGTGATACTATGGCACTATGGTGTAGTAGCGGACACCGGACATCGAGACTATTCGTCCTTGTTTTAAAGCACACGCGCCTGGAGACCAAAATGAAAAAACAACACAAACACAAAAACTAAGAATTCCGCACTACGCCGCCCTGAATTCCTATGGAATCAAAAGACCCACCTGCAAGGAACTCAAGCTTCCACTTCTCTCAAGTCAACTGCATTTCTCTTGTATCTTTACTGTGGAGGAGAGAGTATTCTATTCCATTCGCGAAAACAGAGGTTTGGTTCTACTGGTGGCCTTATTACGGATTTGTTGGTTGTTTTGGGCTTTATATAATTCTCGTACTTTTGATTTTATACAGTAAAACATTCTTAAGGAATCCCATTTGTGTGGGCGATTTTTTTTCTGTTCGGTATGCTCCTCTCCATACTCTTCGTATCCGAAAATGTTACAAGCTAGTCTTTGTGCTGTACCACAACTGCTTCAAGTTTAATGAGGAGGAAGTTTCAAATCCTTGGTTCTGGATTTTCCTTGTTAAGCACTCGACTAAATTGGTTACGAATTTTCAGGAGAGTTCTCAGATTCTCTTACAAAAATCCCTTCACACAAGCTTTCACCACATTGACTTTGCTTCAGATTCAAAAATGGAGTTCTCGAATCCAATAGTCTTCTTATTCACCATATGAATCCTTTGCTACATGTGTTGTGATTTCTAACTATAATTTCTTAAGGCCTGGGCTCCTGTTCGCCTTCTTTTTTATGAATAAGTACCCGTGCTAAAAAATATTTCAAGTTAAAGAAGGAGTTCGCAATTTTGGGGCTTGTTTTTTCTCTACAAAATTCCTGAATAGATCTGACTCAAATTCCAACAGGAAGTAGCAACTAATCAGAACATCGCATGTATT